CGGAACGGAACGGGCGAGAGCTTTGTTTGCGTCGCGCGACGCGCTGTCAGGACAATACACACATCTATTAAAAGCCGGCATTTGTTTGCCTGTAAAATTATGCATTTAGCGGGTCAAGCACGGAATGCCGTGTCTCTGAGGCATGCCGAGGTATTACCCATGGCAATTGCACCGGTTAACGAAATAAGCTTTGGTTGACCGTCTGCTTTCTATCTCTCGGCTTTCGCCGACTAAATTTATCTGCGCGCAGTTCTGCGAGCGGATTCGCCAAATATAACGTGATTTCATCGAGCGATATATCAACTCTCAATTAGGCGCTCTCCTTTTCCGAGACGAACTTGAAGGAATAAAACGGCTATCGAGTCGGAAAAATAATCCGAGTTGGCGTTCGTGACAGGAAGCTATCGCCGCGGTAGCGAGAAATCACGTTTCTCGCGGCGAGAAGTGGCGAAAGCGAGCTCAGATTATGCAAAATTGGTCCATTTATAATTTAAAATGGGTCAGCATTACTGTGGACCGTAAATCTAAAATATATATATATAATATATACACATTATTGTATATAATATAATATTTATGTTTAGATTGATTTGGCTGAGCGAATTATTTTCATCTAACGCTTTTGCAATTGGTTTGATCACTTATCACCTAAATAGCAATCAATATTGTCGAACATAATGCAGTTCGAAATGCATATGTGAACCATAATTTGGGTTAATCCAGGTGAATGCACTTCTCGTGCTAGCCGCGAAACACACGTTACAGACTGACATTTACAATTGTAATCAATTGTATGCGTAACATTAAAACGTTCTCTCCGGCGCGGATATTTTACTTAGCGTCGGAATTAACCTATTCGTTAGCAGCGACCTTTTGCCCGATGTAGATTCCCGTTTTCATCGACGAGCGAATTATTTCAAGCTACTTTTCTATCGGTAATTGGATATTTTATCATACAAGCTCGCGCGCGCGTATTCCATTCTGATATAAATTTACATGTAATACGTCTTTGTTCGTATCATTGATCGCGATCCGTTTCAATTAAAACCGTATCGAATCTCACTGTAACGAATCGCTCGGATAAAGATCAAGCGCTAAGCAGAAGTGAGCAGGGAGAGCGCCTGTTTGAAAACCGACCTGCGACGCGATGGCACGAGATCCGCACTTTGCATAAGCAATCTTCTTTAATCTTGCTTTAATGTGACTTTCGTCTATTCGCAGAGAACAGAGACAATGATAACTGACCGGCGCTAACTCGGTCAAGCGGCTTTTTTTTCTAATTATTCGTAGAAGTCGTCGATTCAAGATGTTTTCGCGTTTGTAATCGCCTGTAGATCACCCAAGTGATTATTGTTCGCCGGCTGGGCAGTCGATAACGATTCCAAGTATAAGGGACAGTATCTCCAAAATCGATATACACGGTCGGCTCTAAAAAGTTACGCTGGATAATGGGCTAACTCTTGGCATGAGCGAACGCTCATCACCCTTGTGTTGCAACTTTCGAAGCTCGAATGAATAAAAACAAGAACGATCGCGCTCTCCTCGCCCTTGCTCATCCGATCCATTAAAACCCACGATCGCTTTTAGCCTCGCTATATCCGTCACGTTGCATTCACGTTGTAACGCGCCCCGTGAGCGATGATATTACAGATCTCGAAAATGAGGGCTATTTGTAAGTGGAGGGGTTACAGCGATTCCCTCGCTAAGTTTAGAACCGATGCGGGCGGAAGTTAAGTATTTAAGACGCTGTTAAAGTTTCACAGACTTTTCCGTGTACTCCCTCTCGATCTACCCCGGGCTCTTTTGAAGTGGGCAGCTGCAGCAAGGAGCCCTGCCTATATATAAAGCACGATCAGGACACGAGTCTGATACGCCCGGAAAATTCACCTAAATATTTGATCGCGCGGCTCGCTACGGATTTTAGGAGCCGCACAATAATCCTCGTGGTACACGCGTTCGGCTAACTCGATTCTTCCTTCCCTTGCTCTATCCTCTTCCCTCTCTCCCCCATTCCTCCTCGTTCTCTCTTTCTCTCCTCGTGCTCTAATAACTCGACGAAAATTAAGCTTATTCTTGTTATCTCCGCTCTCAATCCGCACGCTCCTGGCTTCTTCCAGGCGCGGGATTAAATTCGCCTAACTACGGTCGAAAGCCGCATATTCTTTCCATCAAGGTAAAATAATTGGCGTTAACCTAATAAATTAAAGCAGAAGATAATAAAGCGCTCGCTTACAACGCGGCGTTCATGAAGTAAATAATATCACGAGATACACAGTACGCTTCTCCTTTCGACGCGTTTGTTCTTCTCTACGCCGTTCTCCATCATTAACTCGGTGTATCGAGCTTAATTATCCGTTATAAAAAGCAGTTATTATCGATCATTATTGGTAATATAGGATACATCCGAGGGGAGTCTACATTTTTAACGTACGAAAGCAAGGTGTACGAATATAGCACACGAATAAATTCAGTTATTTCGATGAATGTCGCAAGAAAAAATTTATATGCGAATTCTCGTTTCTGATGTCATAATCGAATATAGGTTATGTGACCGGTCCACAGATCTGACACGTGTTCAACTCTGTTTTCGAGGTGATTAAGAGAGAGGATGACACATAACGTTGCATACAAAATTACCTTTCCCTCCGGTATAAATCATCCGTGTCATTACATAACATATATCATACTTTCGAGATCAGATTTGCAGCGCAAAATTAGTATTAATTGGCAAAATCTAATTTTCAAAACTTTAACTCTAATTTTCAAAACTTTAACACATACACATATACCCGCGCACAACACACAAACTCGTGAGAAATTAGCATAATGTTACACAAGAATGCATTTTAATTATTTCAGCAGCTGTATATATATATACACGATACAATTATTATAATTATATAATTTTTTCTTGCTCTTTCTTACTTAACCCCTTAACCTACGATTTACGTTCCAACAGCCTGGGTCCAAAACGTAAGCAAGATCGCGCAGCCTTCGAGCCATTCCATGGTTCGGCAAATCGACACATACATTTAGCCCGATCATTGTACCAGGGGCCATGCCCGTAATATTTACATTTGGCTCGACCGATGTACCAGGCCCGTGATAATCAGTTTTGGCCCGAATACAAGACCACGTGTCTCACACGTAGTTGTAGGTTAAGGGGTTAACCCCAAAATGTTAATCTTCCTGTGATTTAATTTTGTATTATTTTTAGAGTGATATAAACAAGTTCCACATTTGTTTAATATTCTTGCATAAATCGAATACATCTTCCGAGACATGAACAGTATCAACGAAAATGAAAGCATGAAAAAAATCGAACGTATATCGGATGCGCGATCTTAGACTCCATACGCAACGAATGCGTGTGTAAACGACTGGCACGAGCAGACGCTCTCCTCCCTCCTACGTTATGTACCAGGCTTTGGCTTCCGAGACGACTAACGTGCTACAACACAGTCATCCTCGGTCATCTCATGCAGAACGTTCGCAGTGAAGCTAATCGGAAGTCGAAGGAATCAATCGATCGCGATTCAAGCTATTAGTGCGTAGTGTTCGACGTTTTCCTATTACTTCACGATTTGCTGTGCAAGTGTACTATGTTGTGAAAAGAATTAATCCTTTTACGAGAAACATTGATTTTCTGGCAATGAAATTTATATCTTACTTATGAAAGACGCAGAGTGTTTGATAATAATCTAAGAAATGGTTAAATAATTATGAATTAATAAAAATTTAACTTAGTTTCTGAAAAAGGACATTTATTGATAACGCGTGAGCTCGAAGTTTTCACTCCTCGCGTGATAACTCGCAAAAATTATGATAACTCGAAATGATAATGTGCGTTACGACTAAAAATCATGAATTTTCCATTTACCGGCCTGATAAGAGGACGCTTAGCAGCATTACATAATTTAGAGCGTATTTTAACGGGTTTCCAGATGCAATTTACGAAAAAAAAAAAAAAAATTATTTTATAATCTCACACATCTCCCTGTACTTTTTAAAAGGGATATTCACACTCGTTAGTTAAAACGCTGACATAATAATGACTCGTTGCACTGGTACATTTATTGTATTTTTTTTTTCACGAAGCGTTTTATCGATAATAAAGTGGAAAAGTATGGACGAGCGCGGCCGCGCGGTACAACTCCGAGCGACTTTTCAACTGTACAAATCCGCGGCAGTTGTTTCGAGAACGAAAAAAGCATTACGACTGCAGCAGACTAACACGGCCGATGGGAGAAAAAAGAAACAGCTTTTGCACCGACCGAAAACCGTAAAATGCACCGTAAAGCGCGTTACTGCGGGCCATTTAGAAAGATCGATCGATCCCGTGAACACTTTCAGAATGATCGATGCACCGTCCCAGTATGCCGGTTCCTTTTTCCAAAATAGAAGACTGGAATCGTTGCCTGCGCGGAGATAAATCACCGATTTTCTCCAGTATTGTGTATTGAAAAATACGAGAAACATAAATTGCGATAATCTTAGCGGTGCATGGACGAAGATTTAGTAGACACCGCCTGTAAACGCGTTATTTTGTTGTGCGTGTTTAAAAGTCGGTCTGTATTTTTTCGTCAGACTGCTGTGTATACTGACTGGTGTTGTAACGTTTGATCGAATCAAACCATTCTTCATTCAAAAAAAGCGAAATGTCGCAGGTTGTGCAATGTTTGCAGGTCTCGCGAAACATATCAATCGCGCGTTCTGATATATGTCATTTACATTATTTGTTAATACGATAAATTCTATCGATTCCTGTAGGACGAAAGAAAGAGCCCTCTTAATACCTGAACACGATACTCATATATAATCTTGTTTATTATATTTATATTGTGTTTAAGATTCGATATTTCGCAATAAAAATATCTTAATGAGAATCATATGCTTTACAAGAAGAAGAAAGGAAAAAGCAGAAACGAGACTCGTGAAACAAGACAATGAACCTTATATGCCGTACGATAGTCTACTATTTCCTGGCTATTTATTTAAAGGGTCTGCTGCAATCTTTGAAGCTATACTCCGGCCATCCTCCGGATCTTGTAAAATGCTCTACTGATTTTAACGTAAGTACACTTTTCCTTTTTTATTATACATGTAACTTTTAATGAGAAATATTAAAATATTGACTTCAGGAGACGCATTTTTTAAAATAAATATATACATTTCGTCCCAATTTACGAATGAGATTTAAATAAAAATTATACTTTTGGTATATTTAATAAGCATATTTAACAATACGTTAAAAAAGATAACGTCCACGAATATTTATCCACGTTTATTAATGATATTTTTCTTTCTATTCATATATAACGCATGTGTGTGTGTGTGTGTGTGTGTGTGTGTGTGTGTGTGTGTGTGTGTGTGTGTGTGTGTGTGTGTGTGTGTGTGTGTGTGTGTGTGTGTGTGTGTGTGTGTGTGTGTGTGTGTGTGTGTGTGTGTGTGTGTGTGTGTGTGTGTGTGTGTGTGTGTGTGTGTGTGTGTGTGTGTGTGTGTGTGTGTGTGTGTGTGTGTGTGTGTGTGTGTGTGTGTGTGTGTGTGTGTGTGTGTGTGTGTGTGTGTGTGTGTGTGTGTGTGTGTGTGTGTGTGTGTGTGTGTGTGTGTGTGTGTGTGTGTGTGTGTGTGTGTGTGTGTGTGTGTGTGTGTGTGTGTGTGTGTGTGTGTGTGTGTGTGTGTGTGTGTGTGTGTGTGTGTGTGTGTGTGTGTGTGTGTGTGTGTGTGTGTGTGTGTGTGTGTGTGTGTGTGTGTGTGTGTGTGTGTGTGTGTGTGTGTGTGTGTGTGTGTGTGTGTGTGTGTGTGTGTGTGTGTGTGTGTGTGTGTGTGTGTGTGTGTGTGTGTGTGTGTGTGTGTGTGTGTGTGTGTGTGTGTGTGTGTGTGTGTGTGTGTGTGTGTGTGTGTGTGTGTGTGTGTGTGTGTGTGTGTGTGTGTGTGTGTGTGCACACGTGTATATTATAATTTAACTACGATTTATATTTATAATCTGAAGCAAATTTGAATACTTTCGTTATTTATGCAATATTACTTATGCGTTGTAAAAATAAATATAATGTACCCTGGATTTTCGTCATGCTTTCTTTCATCTAAAATAACGCGAAAAATTTGATCGGATATTATTTTCTGCCACAAATTCGTAATATTTTAAATATATTTGTAAAATTATATGATAAAATAAATCAAGACTTCGTTAAAGAGTAAAGTGAATTTGAAATTAAATATGAATAAAATCCCCATCTCTGTTTGCCACTCCAAAGCTCTCAATTAATTTGTAAAAATTCACATATTTTTCATCGCTTATAATTTTCACAATTGACACATTTAATATTCGTGTTAAAGTCTGTTTCCTGCGATAATCAAAGAGATGAAAGATAAGGACGACCTGGGAAGTATCGATTGCAAAAATCATATATTAATATTTTGCATATTAATACAAATTAATATCAAAACGCAATTTACAAATTTATCAATAAAATTCTCCACGCGGCAGGAGAAACCCATCAACAAATAAAGATGGTCAACGATACTCGATATCGGAAAGGAGTCGGAAAGGACGAGCGACGCTACTTTGTCGCTCGATTATGGGCGTAATGTCCGTGATTATCGTGCAGGATATCCTCGACAATTTTCGAAGTCTGGCTTCTCCATAGCTCACCTGTGTCGGTGGGGTCGGTGGGTACCCCTTGCGGGCAGCAATGTGCCGCGAACGGATCGCGGTGAGTCAGCAACGATAAATCGAGCGATTTATGAAGCGGCACGGCCAACGACCATTCTCGAGGAATAATGTCGGGATCGATCTACACGTACGACGTTGAGGCGGGTCGTCAGAATTTTCAAACTCCCATCAGCCTCGTTAATTGTCTCGGACGAGAGGTCGAGACGTCCTCCTATGTAGTATGATGATTTGGTCGATTCGATCGTAACATTGAATCGCCGAGAACACGAAGACGCTCAAAGAATATTTTAAATATTCAATCGCACGCTTTTTAATTCGCCGAGCAAGACAATTCGCATAATAATTTTACTAAACAGATTTATGGTAACAAATTTATGTTCGTGAGTTTTTATACGATAGACTTTTACGATAGACTTTTCGGTTGATTTAAGTCAAATTAATATTCCCCGTTTTCTCGAATAGATAGAAAATTATATGAAAATCTTGCAAAAAATTTGGAAATCACGCCTCATTTTTATCAAACGTATATTTACTGAAACGGTCAGCTAAGCTCGTGTACATTAATTATTCGCGGTATCTTCCACAATTTCCTTGATAACTATTATCGGATGGGGGCTAATTTAATCGATCACGCGATAGCTGGCCGGCTAATTAGCGTCACAGTTTTTTACACCCATTTTACGATCTAGATATCACGCCATGGCCATTAGCGGTATTACAAGATCACATCACAGCTCGTTACGATAAATTACTGTACCATTACGCGAGAATGTGATTTGTAAACAATGCTTTTACCTGTGAAATTGTCTGTAAAATAATCTTTAATTATCCGTTTAGCACAATAGTAAGCTATATTTACGAATATCCATAAATTAAGTAAAGAAGATGAGAAATTATACGTATACAAATTTTATATGGATTTTTTCGAATAATTCGAGGTATCTTTCTAACGAAAATTTGTTTAAGTGCTATTCTCTCTAAGGAGTCTTTTAAGGATATATATTGCCCATAAATCAAAATAATTAAAGAAATTATAAGTTGATTTACGTTGCACTTAAAAGTGGCACTAAATGTTTGATAGTCATTCAGAACTTGGATTAAGTTACTCCACTTCAAAGGAAGTTATAAGGTGAAATGACTTTGATAAGAATTCAATGAAAAGTGTACTGCATATATAATATATTGAATATATTATCTAATTCATTTCTGATGTAATGAGAAAAAGATTAACCATTAGATAGCTGAAATATTTGTAATTAAAGTTCACACATTTTATACGTGTTCCTTGAAATTAGAGTACGATTTTTAACTTCTATTTTTAATACTTTTTAAACTATAGTAAAGACTAATTTGCAGACATTATACACAAATTTCAGAATTATTGACCTTTTTGGTTTTGAAACTACAGCGATATAAAATTTATTATAGTATTTGAAATATATACAGATCAACTAGTTTAAAACAAAGTAAGAGTTTAAAACAAAGTAAGTAGATTAGATCAACTAGTGTAAAACAAAGTAACATTAATAAAAAAAATAAATAAAAATAATATTTTCGTATTTGTAATATTGTGTGTATATGTCTACCTCAACTTCGTTTCAAACTGATATTTATTATTCAGGTAATGAAATAAATATATAGAAATGTAATTTTGCTTAAAAAATACTAAATTTATGAATGGCCCTCTTGCGCCACTGAAAACACAGCACACACAATATATTCTTAAATTACCGTTATCAAACGCTTAAACAATGAAATATCCTGTTTGAGTATGAAACAAAATCCCATTGAAAAATTAAATTAAAAATGAAAATTTGTTATATATTCATTTGTAATGGATTTCAGCTATGGCGGTTAATTAACGAAACGTCATCCACCTGTAGTCGCTTGCAACAAACAAAAAAAGAGTCTATTCGGGAACTCGTGTATATGGGAATTCGGTTCATATTTCTGAATTCCCGATGCAATCTCGAAGTTTGCACACGCAATCTTCTTTTTTAGCGCCTCGCACGTAAACAGCTGTTCCTGCGAATTATATTAAAACGTGTTATCCCGCGCCGAGAAAATTTCTACGGCTCTCGCTACGTAATCTTCTTAGAATTTATGCGAGGATTTCGATACCGCGCGCCGCGTAAGAACGCGCGCACGATATTTTGATTACATTATTACATCTAATAAGAAATTCTTCTCATAACAAATTTACCCGGATTCTTCCGCTGTTCTCTACGACCGTGATGATTACAAGCTGAATACTACGGTTTCGGATTCATTTCGATTTTAATCCGATCGTCCGATCGCGCGTCGCATTATCCGTCGCGCAATTGCCAAGTTTAGAAAGCGGACACCCATCGTGTGCGCTCTCCACGTTTGAATAAAAATTAACAACACGGTACGGTTTGTTCGAACGAATATTACATGGACATATCACATTACGACGTTCCTGCGCGCATTCAGCATAACCGGCATAAATTAACCGATCGAGTTTCAAGGATTTCATTAAATTTTAAAGTAGCCCGCCGTGTTGCTTAGATTACGGCGTCTAAGATTTCAAAGCACCGTTTTGTAAGACTCGCGCTCTTCTCCCGCCCAGCTTCCGCTTGTTCTTTTATCGCAAGACGAACGATAGTCGTGTTACACGCTGTAACATTGAAGACGCTCCGCTATTGTGTATTTTTCGCACTTTCCACGATCGTATTGTCGATAATTAAAAGTCGACGAGGCGGGTGAGTAGTGAGCGAGCGCCTGCTCGAAGTGCACGGTGAGAAGGCGCGGTAAAAAAAAAAGGGAAAGAATCTCCACGTCGAAACACCTCCAGCTACGAAGCGAAAGATTATTTACGCGAAACGTAAGACGTACTTGCTTCATGCTCTCACTTGAAAACAAATGTTCTTCGCTCGTACCTCTCGTTAAGAGCGCCCGTTGCATTTTTATTCGCGCGAGGGCCATGTCGTGCACATGGCGCGTGTTCGCGATTAATTCACATTTCGACCAATCATAAATAAGTAGACGACAACCAACGGATGAACGCGCTCGTGCGAAACTATACAAATGTCGTCCCTTTTTCATCAACTACGCTGAAATCCGGCCGCGCAAATCGGGGTTGCGAGTCCTAAATAACAGATTAAACATGCCGACCTCGTAAAGGACCGACATGTGTGGGGAGCACAATTTGTCCGCGCCGGCGTGCCAGCGGAAAAAAATAGTTTCCGATTGAATTTAATGCTCCACGTCGCCTGCGTGCCGTGTCCGCGAGCCGGCCGGAGTATCAAAAAGAGCGAGCGAGAGAAGCGATAAACGATCGATGATAAAGAGAAAAGGGATGGAGGGGGGCCGACGAGGAGAAAGAAGGGGCCCGCTCGGGGGGCGATAAAAAAGCAACGAAGAGAAAGACCAAGA